ATTCAAATTTTTTTCTCTAACTCAACATTAGGAGAAATAGATATCATATAAATCAATTTAATGAATACAAATTATATTGTCCTAATAAGTTCATAGTATTGAATGTGTTTATATTATATTAATTTAAAACTTTTAATGAACTTTTTAAGTTGATTGTGTTGAAGAGAATCATATTAATATTTATTTTATTTGTTCAATATTATGGACCAAATAAATATTGTGAGATATTTAGATGTCTTTCATGTGAAATATGAGTGAGTGGTATAAGAAAAGAGTATATATTTATTATAATGTTTTGTATTACTATAATAAATATATAGCATTGGATACATTTATATGATTTTTTTTACATTGTACATTGTATTACTATAATAAATATATTTATTATACATTGTATTAATATTCTTTTTTTTGGACTTGACATTAACAATTTTAGCCATTTTTTAGGTTTTGTAAATTACAGACTTAAAATTAATTAAATAATTTAATTATAGATTAATAAATTCTTATATTATGAGTTTAATAATTAATGAGAAATAATATATACAAATGATTTAATATAAAACTTTCTTATAATATTAAATTATTCACATAAATATGACATATCTTTTAAATTAAAAGAACATGACTAAAATAATAAAATAAAACAATAATATAAATTAACAAAAATTATTTATTGTTAAAAAAAATTATATTTGCTATAATTTTAAAATATGTTCAATCAATTAGTGATAAAAAAATGTTCAATTGTAAAATTATATGTAATTATATTTACTAAAATATATTTTTTATTTAAAAGAATATTTGAGGTAAAGATTAAAATCAATCACATGCAAAGCATAGGTCATATATTTGTATATATAAATTCAAAGTTGTCATGATGGCAATCCTAATCATATGTCGACTTGATAGCAACTCTAAATATTATTTATAAATATAACCTACATTAAGAATAATTTGATCCTATATTAAAAATAAATAATAATAATAATAATAATAATAATAATAATAATAATAATATTAATAATAATAATAATAACAATAATAATAACATAAACAATAAGTAATAATTTAAAAGATAAATAATAATAAAAATATTTATCTAATATATATATATATATATATATATATATATATATATATATATATATATATATATATATATATATATATATATATATATATATATATATATATATATATATATATATATATATATATATATATATATATATATATATATATATATATATATATATATATATATATATATATATATATATATATATATATATATATATATATATATATATATATATATATATATATATATATATATATATATATATGAGCTTTTTAAGACACATAAATTTTTTTTAATTAACTATTTTTTCTCTTCGTGCAAGCTACAAAATTAAAAGATTATTAGACTATTAACTTTATTAATGTTATATAAAAAACTAAGTTATAACAATTTTTTTAAATTTAAAAAATATTATTTTATAGTTTAAATTAAGTATCTTTTAAATCCAACTCCCAAATGATTTTTTTTTTATAAAAAGTTGTTAACTTTGTCATTAAATTTTTATAATTTATATCTCAATTAGTATATTTGTGATAAATTAATTTAATTCTGTGTTTAAAAAGGAAGAAAATTATGACAGTTAAGAGGAAGAATACATTACCATGTCAAAAAAATAACATTAACATTAGGTAGGATTTACGTTATTGAAAAAGCAAAATTTAATTTGATTAAGTCAAAGGGTGGAATATTTTAAAATTAAAGTTATTAAAAATGAGAGAGTATATGAATTTAAACTAAAATTAAAGGTGGGTTGAATTAATCAAAGTTTATATTAACTAAAAATAAAAAAGAATAATTTTAAGAAATTATTTATAATTAACTATTTAATTAAATAAACTTAATTATAAATAACATAATATATTACATTATATTAGTATATATATTTTTAAGTGTCATGTACGACTGACTAATTTGATTTTATTTTCATAAAAAAATAATAATTTCATTTCTTTGATAATTTTTTTAAAATAGAAATATTTAATTATGACCGTTACTATTTGACACATATTGATATTATTTAAGGTAGAATTTACTGTACATTATATTGTTATTTTAATTCATATTTATTGATTTTATAATGATATTTAAGGGGATAAAGTGACTCGTCAATTTTTATCGGTTTATAGGCTTATTTTATCTCACTAAAACTCTATTTCTCCTTATGTTTTCTTTTTAATTTTCATAATTTTCCATTTCTCTTTAGGCTTTCTTTTTCATTTTCATAATCTTCCATTATGAACAGGTTGTGAAGATATATTTGATAATTTTATTGAAAGATTGATCATAATCTTTCATTTTATAAATATTATGTGCAGGTGTTGAAGATATACTTGAGAATTTTATGTGGTAATTTGACAATTCAAACATTATATATTAACAATAATATTATATACTTTTTCAACTAGGTATGAGATTTTTATAGTTTACCATTATATGAATTTTAATATATAAGTTATAAAACTAATAATTTTATAGTTTTCTTCTCTTTAAGAGTTGATCATATATATTGTTTATGTTTTTTTTATGGTTTATATAATTTGGATACAATGAATTTTATTATCTAATTTTTTAAAATAAAATTTATTTTTAATAACTAAGTTATAACTTTATTATACAACAAATTGCAGTTATATCTTATTAGTAAAAAAAATAAAGGAAAAAGCATCAATTATTTTTGTGTATAATTTAAATTTCATATAATAATGTGTATAAAATGATATCCTCTCTCTTTCTTCGAATTAATGATATGATAAAATGAATATAAATTTATAAAACAAATCAAAAATACTTTTTAGTGAATTATTTGTTATTAATTAGGATAAAAATAAAAGTTATGTCAAATTAAATTTAATATAATGACAATATATTCTAATAAAATTGTAAGTTTAAAATTTATTAATTATTTATTTTGTTTAAATATGATGTCCGAAAAAAAGTAATACTTTATAATAAAACAACTTTAAAAAAAAGAGATCAAAGGTTGGTGTAATGGAAATAAAATCTTCTAAAAAATTATAAAAAATAGTAATAAATAAAAAATATAACTAAACAGTTTATTAATTAAAATTTTGCATTAATACAGTGAGTGAGTGATTTTAGTTAAAGAGTAAAAGTTGAAGAATATAAAAAGTGATAGTTGAAAGCTTGGTGCGGTGAGAAAAACATATTTTTAAAAAAATAATAGGAAACTAATAGTTGATAAATAATGTAATTAAATTAGTTTATTAATTAAAATTTAACATTAATATAATGAGTAAATGAGTCTTACATAGTCTAAATTTTACAATTTATTGTCCTAATAAATTCATATTATTAAATGTCTCTATATTATATTAATTTAAAAGTTTTAATCAACTTTTTAAATTGATTGTGTTGAAGAGAATTATATTAATTTTTTTTTTTGTTAAATATTATGAATCAAATAGATATTGTGAGAGATTTAGATGTAATATAAGTGAGCGATATAAGAAGAAAAAAAAATATTTTTTTATAATGTTTTGTAATATGAAAAATGAAATATGAGTGGTATTTTTTTTATAATGTACTGAAATATGAGTGAGTGGACCAACTAGTTTATTAATTAAAATTTAGTATTAATATAATGAGTAATTGAGTCTAACGTATAAAATAAAGGTTTAAATTTTATGATTTTTTTTAAATAAAGGTCTAGATAATTTGTCTATGAAAATAGATATAATATAAAATTGCATATGTAATCAGTGAGGAATTGTTAGAATTTTGAATCACAAATGTAATATTTAAGGTGTTATGGCCATTGTTTAATTAGTCAAGATTTAAAGTGCTTTAATTAATATTAAGTCTAGGACTAAAAATATAAATGTCATGAAAAGTAAGATTATTGTGTAGGTATTATAAGTCAATATGTAATTAGATGAGGGGTCACATTAGAATATTGAAAACTAAAAAATAACCTAATAATTATTTATGAGTTTTGGTCCCAATTCGTAGAGTAATCGGAAAACACAGTTTATTAGGATTCTTTTTTCATCCCCGTTAAAACAGATTTGAGAAACCTTAAGAAACTCTACAAATTAGAATATCACATACTCATGAATCTTCAATGATTCTTATGATAAACTCAGATACGTTTTTGCTTTCAAACTCATCTTGTATTTACTATGGACTCATAGGATATGAACTCATAGGGATTAGTTTAGAATTATGTTTTTGATCTCTATATGGATAGAGATACATAATGTAAAGAACATATCTAACAATTTCCGTTTTCAAAATTTTTTCTTTTTTAGGATAGCTCAAATTAAGTGTGGTTTTATCAAGATTTGACAATATGTAGTGTTGACTATTTAGAAATTGCTCAATTACGTCTTTTTAGAGTAAAGATTCTCTATCTTTTGAGAGGAAAAGATAGAGTGACTTTAAACCAAAAAATGAATAAGACAAAATAGAAATGATGATTATTTTGGAGAAAAAAATATGTGAGAAAAAATAAATTATATAAGAGATAGAGAGAAAGTTAGAGAAGTATAAATAATTGATAGTTAAGAGATTCAAATTTGTCTTTTTAAATACACCAATAGACAAGAAAAATATAGAAGATAAGAGCATCTATGTATCCTAGAAATGGTGTTTTGATAGATATCCAACTTATTCATATTCTTTATCTCACTAAATAGCTATTGGAATGGAAATATTTATTTTGGATAAATATAAAAAATGACAAAAAGTTGTCATTGATACATAATAAAAGCGAAACAAGTTTTTGAACTACAAAATCAAATATGTTGAAAATGTGTGACATTTCTTATAGTACTAATGTTTTTTAATTTCAATTGTATTAATTAAAATTATAAATTACATTTCTTTAATTATTCAAAGATATTATTGATTCCTTATTTTAATAACGCAACCAAATATCGCAAAAGTATTTGTCTAATTACTTATAACAACAACATTTTTGTCCAATAAGTATTTGAAAACACCCTCCTCCTAATTGATACCCAGCATTCAAACAGTCTTGACGACAATTTGGAGAACAATCCTCAAAACAGCATAAGTTTAATTTCCCTGAAGGCATCCCTACAAAGCAGGATGCTTTGCGAAGCTCGACTGTTGGAGTCTTCAAACCAGTAACCAATCCTGAATCAAAATAATATAATCATAATTATTTTTATTAAAATTTCATACACAATTGTGTAATTTAAAATTCAAATTATGATAATTACGTATTGAACCATGATTTGCAGACAATATAATCGCTATTCAATCGAAGAAATATTCACTTTATTTGTTGAATATGTAGTATATGAACAAAGCATAATAAGTTTTCGATTATAATTGTAGTAAATTGTTTATAAAATATACAACTTTGAGATATTCAAAGCAAAAAATTTCTCCATACCTGAAACTAAGACCAAAGCAATGCATGAAACTCCTAAAAGATAAGATTGATAGTTATTAAAAGCCATTTTTGTTGAATTTTATCTTATATTTTATATTTTGTAATATTATATAAGAGTAACATAAATTTATTATGCTTTGTTCAGAGTAACATATATTTTGTAATTAACTATGACTGTTAATAGAAATTTAATAAACAGTTAAATTTTGTGTTTGTTATAATATTTTAATTAATACCTTTATTATTTAATTTCAAAATATAAATTTATGTTAATACTAATTTTTTAATTATTGTAAATTTTTAATATTCTTTACGAGAAATATCTAACTTTATGATTTTAAATTAAATACTTTTTAAATTTAATATTCATATATTTTAGCTTTATTTATAATTTTAATATTACTTTCATTTTAATAATAATATACTTTGGTGTAAATTATTATAAATATATAACTATCTCTTTTCTATTTATTAACCACCTAGCACTTTTTAGTTTTTGAGTTTCTTTCATCTCTTTAATTCATCTTTAAATTTGTCATAAAAATATATTTTAGTTAATACTTTATTTATGTTGAACGGTTAGTATTTTCTATTAATTGATAGAATAATAAATATTTAAAAATAATAGCTCGTAATAATAATATTAATAATAATATTATATAAAAGTAGTTATAACATATTATATAATTTTGTATTCTTACACACTTTTATAACTATCCTTAATCCTACTTTCATTATTTATTTATTATTTTTGTTTTTTTATCCATTTCACCTATTTGTTATTTTCTAATATTTTTTATAATGTCAGCTATTGATAACAATTTCAATTGGTGAGAGATTTTTTTCTTATAATTATTTGTATATTTCTTTATCTTATCATTAAATTTCAAACTTAATTATTATATTTTCATGTAAAAAATACCTTATATGTTTTTGGAGGCTTAGCAAAAATAAAATATTACCAGCATAAATAATAACAAATATATAGTTTATTCACATGCATACGGTGAATGAAGTAGATGCATTAGCAAATTGAAAAACCAACTACATATCTTTTAAAATTTCATCGGATATAATACACTACCATATTTTATTCAAAAAGATTTCTTAAAAATTGTTTTGACCTCTGATTGTACCTGATCAGAGTTGGACTGTCAAAGTTGGCCTTTGGCTGGATTTGAAGGAGATGGGGGGGGGGGGGGGGGGTGTACCTGCAAGATACTCTGATGACAAAGTGAGAGACGGAATAAGCAAGCAATTATGTATGTAGATGTGAATGAATAAATACCTGACTCTCTCGAAATAGAGGGTATTTATAGCCCCCAGCGCTTGGCCAAGGTCTCTTTATTGGGCTAATCAAACAGGCCCAAAAAAGGGACTGCCAGGTTCTACGTGAGTAGTGGGGACCTGCATGTGGCCCCCTACCTGGATGATGCTCTCCGCAAGATAGGGAGGATAGAGATGCGATCTTCCCGGGACCCTGAGGACTCTGCGAAATCCAGAGAGGTTGAAAGTCAGCCCTACGAGGAGGGTGCTCGGGTAGAGCGTGCGCTCGTCGGGGACGTTCCTCGCGGGCACCGGCGAGAAGTAATTGTAGCCGACCAGATACTCATGATCGGGGTGTGCTCGGAGGATATACTGCTCAGCATGATATGTTGACAAGCTTGGATTGGGCCTCACTGGTGATTGGACCACGGGCAGGCCCAGTCCAGAACAGGAGCCCCCCAAGTCGTTGCTCCTTGTAAGGGAGTTATGACTTGATTCAAGTTCGCCCCTTCGCGAGACTCGCTTGCGCGACACAAGGGTTTTCAATTGGGGATGTGATACATCGTCTGGTTCATGATTTTCCTCGTGCAGCGATCGAGAAGTGTTCGAGGAGCACTCGCGGGGAGGTGGTGATGCATCAGTCAGACATGTGGCGCGGCTCTTGGAAACCATAATGCCGCCCTAGGGAGTAGGGTCATCATTGTCTACGCGATTAGGCGTCGAGGACGGAGGCGGTTCGTGGTTCGTAGGAAGATTTTGATGGTGTTTTAGTGGTAGAATTTCATGTCTGGGGATTGTGCCCGGGAAATTCAAGCACCCTAGGTGCTCGATTCATGATTACGCCCGCGATGTTCATAGGTTTAGGCATACGGTTTACGATCGTGCCCGTGATACTCATGCGTTTGGCTAGTAGATTTATGAACTTGGTCGGGAGATTCATCCTTTCGTTAGTATGTAGGCTAGTTTTCCCCATAGTATTCTTGTATCTCGCCAGCAACATTATGAACTTGGTCGGGGGATTCATCCTTTTCTCGCGATATTCACGCTATACTCGCGTCATTCATGATTGATACGCGTCCTCCGCTAAGGTCATTTTTTGGTCGAGGTCTACGTGTTCTCCGTTTTGTACGAATGGTCGTTGACTCGGTCTGAGTGTTGCTTACTTCTCCCAGTCTTTGTGACAGAAAACTGGCTTTGCTGTCGAATTCACCGGTTTCCTGTACTTTGCAGGTAAATGGCCGATATTCCCGAGTCCTCGAGGCGTAATGATGTCGAGGAAACAAGCACTATCGACGAAAGCATCAATCTGGTCGACATCGACGATGACCCCACACTAGATTGGGTTGGTGCTGAACCCCGAGGAATAGCTTCGATTTATAAATATTTCGGTAAACAAGCTTACACTGTCGTCGAGTATGGCGGCGGCCAGGAGGGATTTCAGAGAAAGTTTAAGATTATGAGGCCGACGAGGGATGCCCGTATCGGCTTGGAGTTTACACAGAATGCCTTTCCCATGTACAAGATCGTATTTAAAGATCTCGGGCTCCGGTTGCCCTTCAATGAATTCCAGGTGGGAGTGTTCAACCACCTGAACCTGGCTCCCTCCCAGATTCATCCTAATGTGATTACCTTTATTCGGGCATTCGAACTCACCTGCCGCTTCTTGAGGATTGGGGCGACGATTCCCTTGTTCTTCTGGGTTTTTCATCTACAACGGCAGTCCCGAGGAGGGAAGCACAACTGGGTGTCCCTTAAGCAGTCGAAGAGACTGTTTAGGATGTATATGGATTCTATCCGAGATTTTAAGGATAAGTGGTATATTTTGCAACCGTCTACCCAGACAATCGTAGATTCGCTGTTCGAACCGGCCGCTGTGGTGGACGAGGATGGGGAGTCGTGTTTGGATGCCGAGGGTAATCCCGAGATTGGGAAAGTCTCTAAGTTTCCCATTCACTGGTGTTCGGGCCATTACGACCATGGACCTGGATACTACCACACTCCTGCTGGGGGTATGAGTGCTGAGGACGAGGAAGCTTATGGCGTCCTGAACAAGTTTGTCGATGGCTTCTTTCCTGCTCGGTGGGTTACGAGGGAAGGGGATGACGTTCTTGATGAGGATGGCTATCCGATATCCGAGGCACGCCCGATCAACACCAAGGCGCTCGTCGAGTGCCAGTCTTACAGGAAAGTCGTAGACCCCTTAGGTTTCTTGATTTTCTCTATTGACATTCCTCTTTGTTTGTTTTCTTTAACGTATGTGGCTAACCCAAGTACACTTCCTTTGCAGGTCACATGACGGAGCGTCGCCAGAGGTTGCTAAAGCTAACTCAAGATAAGAAAATCATCAAGAGGTTGGTGAGGCCGCAACAAGGCACGCGGATGGGTCCGACCCGTGACTTGGGCAGGGAAGGATCTATTGGGTCCTCGGGTACCCTGGACACCTAGCGCCAATCTGATTTGATCAGCAAGAAACAGAGTCGACCAGATGATGGGGTCGAAGTGACCAACGGAGGGGCGGGCGCCCGGGCCTTCGGCCTGCCACCCTATTTTATGGGAAAGGATTTCTTCGAGGGGTTTCCCTTGTCCGTATTCGACAACGAGGCCGACATCATCAGGAAGCTCGACAAGGAAGGTCAAAGGAAACACCTCGCTGCCAGTATGGTCGGGGTGGTAAAAATGGTCGAGATAGCGGTTGTCCTCGCGGGCGAAGGGTAAGACTCCTTAGACCGGGTCAAAGAGCTGGAGTCAGAGAAGGCGACTCTTATGGCCAAGTCCCGCAAACTGAAGGCTGCCCTAGAACGCTCTGAGGAAATGTTTCGTGAGAAGTCTGACGTGTTGTCGGGGGAGAAGGAAAGGGCCGACAAAGCTCTTAAGGAAAAAGATTGCCTCCATCTTGATAAGGAGTAGTTGGAGAGTGATAACCAAAGACTGTCGAGAGAGTTCGAGGACCTGAAGGCTGTTATGCTGCCCGCTGAGGATGAGCCAGAAGGGATGGCTGACTTGCGCATGCGCTCTGACTTTATCGCTCGCATTCAACTCCTGGAGTTGGACTGTGTTGGCGCTTTGGCCGATGGTTTTGAGACTGTGGTGAGTCAGCTGTCCGTGCTAAATACAGGTTTGAATACCGAAGGGGCTGGGGTTCTGTCCCAGATTGTCGATGGCCAGGTTGTGCCTCCCCCTGACTCTCCTGACGTCGACGTCAACACTCAGGGAACTGATTGATGCTTTTATTGGTGTTTGAGCCTGCGCGCTCGTTATTGTTTTTGGGGCATGCGTGCCTGTTATTGTTTTCGGGGTCTGCGTGCCCGCCTTTATTCTCTTAGTTTTTTGGCCGTCGTGCCTGGACTGTAATTTTGGATATTTCCGGCCCTTGTGGTCGGTATATTATTGATCCTTGTTTATGATTGCCCATTAGATGGGTGCTTTGTTTACATTTGTCTGATAATATTTAATGTATATGTTTGATTGTTATTTTTGGTAATGAATTCTTGGCGAAGTTTGTGTTCGGGTGGAGATATCTGTTCGACCCCTATGTCGGTTCGACGCATTTCGAAATGCGTCGAATGCGCGGAGTGGAATCCTCTATTCAGGCGTATGATCGCGGTTGGGATCCTACGCCCGTGGCATGAACTGCCCATCGCGAGCTGGGTGTTCTGCCATATGGGGTACTTCGACAGTGGAGCTCGATCGAGGTGTCCCTGCCGGGCATGTACGTTTGGTTCATCGAAGTGAACAACAGTATGCCCTCGTTGGTTGGTAGGTCGGGTCCGTACCTCGACTCGCCAACGTGGTCGAGCTTTT